CTACTTTCATCTTCTGGATGAGTGAGTGCTTAACTAGCCAACACTCAGCGTCATACAACATGGCCGGTGGTTACACCGGTCTATAAAACTTACCTTTGAGTGACAGAGGCACTTTCTTGCCATACAGTACTCCTGATGCTAGTCTCCATTTCATCCACCCCACCCCTATACGGTGTGTAACATCCTCGTCTATCTCCATATCCTCATAGATAACCGACCCAAGATACTTGAAGCTGCCTCGCTATGCGATTCAAGCCTCACTTCCGTGATCGCTTCCCTCGGCTCTGCGCCGAACTTGCACTCTAGGTATTCCGTCTTAGTCCTGCTCAACTTGAACCTTTAGACTCCAGGGTCTGTCTCCAAATCTCCAACCTCTCGTTAACGCTACTTCACGTCTCATCGATCAGAACTATGTCATCATCGAATAACATACACCAAAACACCTCCCCTTAAATGTGGCATGTCAGTGCGTGTTAGTATATTGTATTTGTAAAATAATTCTGGAAATATAAATGAACATAAACAGAAATGAACATAAACAGGAATGAACTACGAAATAACAGAAAACCAATTCGAGCCCACTGAATTCAAAGCGTTTCCTTAAGGAATTTAATCCCCTCCTAGTACCCAAGGTTATGGATTATTTTCTTCCAGGATAGAACGAATTACACACTGGTGTAGTGGTACGTCAAACCCCCGTGTTTCAGTGAACACAAAGTTTGGTAGCAAATCACACTTATTGTTGCTTTGTTTGATGCTAAAAGTATGCAGAAGAAGGAGGAGAAACTCAGAAAATCGTATTGAAATTCTGAGCAGAATAGCCTTGTATTTATAGCCAAAGTTGGGCTGAAATCTGAAGAGGTGCAACTCTTCAAATGACTGTTTATGCAAAACGGCTACAACATAAATGCCATTACATAAATGACTATTTACACAACAATAAAGAGGGAAAATTGAAGAGGGTAGTTAATTTTCTGTTACTAAAACAGAAAAAACGGATTGGAGGATTTAATATTAATATTCTGTTATTAAAGAAGATATTTAATAACATTTCTGTTAATATTTTACTATTAACAAATAAATTTGGTCCAAAAAGTTAATCAATCAATCGATCATTTGACCAAATCTAAATCCAAATCCAAATCTGAATCTGAAGCCGAGCCGAGCGAGCGACGACGACGACGACGCGAGGCTTGCCTTCTTCTCAACTCTTTAAGAGCTAGAAGAAGAGAAATTGCTTATATACCCATAAAAAACCTCTTCCTCTTCCAATATGGGACAATGTCCCTTTGCCAAGGGGGGAGACCTAAAATTTCACTCAAAAATTTATTTCCCTCCATTTCCCATTCATCCTCTTTTATGTATTAAATACATAAAAAAACCCAACAATCCTCCACATGAATGGGGAATGGCTATATCACGGAAGTATGCATAAAAAACCGTGTGATTCACAAGCAAGGATTAATTGCATCTGGATAAGTAGGTTTCCCTTTGAACTTTCTGTAGTGAACTTATGTCGGATATACTCGATCAATCGGTAGATTTGATATCTTTGAACCGTCGAACTTTGGTATATACCTAGACAACCACAAGTCACACAACCAACCCTTAACCATCTTTGGTTCTCATTGTTGTGTTCGTCTCAGCCATGAACACCATCTGGTTTTATAAGTGCGTAGAGAACTGGTCTTACAAAGTTCTCCTTGAAGCGGCTAACACTTCACACTTACATAGGTGATTCCTAAACGTGTCATCCCGTAGATACATTGTTTGATATACCCCGTATCAAATTTAGAAATCATTAAAAGCCTTAATGCTTTATCCTTAGTACTGAACATTGTCTCATCACGAGAATGGACCAAAAATTAAGTTGATAATGTTGAACCGTCATAAATGACTTTGTTTGATCTCCTTGAACCTAGAACTTGGGATCTCCAGTATTCTAGGTAGAGTTACCGCCACTATGACTTGTTCTCGGCCACAGTCCCATTCCCCTTGATGACTTCTCAACTACCTCTCTAGTTAGGCCTTTTGTAAGTGGATCCGACACATTATCACTTGACGTTACATAGTCAATAGTGATAATTCCTCTAGAGAGTAATTGTCTAACGGTTTTATGTCTTCGTCGTATATGACGAGATTTAACGTTATACATAACGCTCCCAACCCTTCCAATTGCCGCTTGACTATCGCAATGTATGCATATTGGTGCCAACGGTTTGGGCCAAAATGGAATATCTTCCAAGAAATTCCGGAGCCATTCAGTTTCTTCACTGGTGATAGTAGGCTATATAGTTGATATTTACACCTTAATATGACCATAATTTGTTGTTGCTTTATAGATATATTGCCAACAAAATGCTCTAAATAGTGTTCTTTTGTTTAGCAGGGAATATTATATGAGAGGAAGCAACATGGAGTGTTTTGGGGGCGATAATGTGAAGAAAAACACCCAGTCGAGAAGTACCCGAACATCAAGAAGCATAAATGGTCCGGGCAAGAAGGCCACCGCGACCGCGGTGAACCGCGACAGATTAATTCAAGGAGGCAGATAGCTCAGCGTTCACCGCGGTCGACCGCGGTTGGCCGCGACTGCGGTGAACTGTTCAATCGCTGGAAGTTGTGGACCAAAGTGTAATTTCGGGAAAACTTTTGTAAAACCCTTATAAGCTTTAGACATTCGCCCAACTGGAAAAAAGGCTAATTTTAGACTACTTTTGGGAGGAAGAACAAATGTGAGAAGATCAACCAAACATTAGAGTTCTTCTATCTCTTTTTGATTCTTGCAATTTTATATTATGAACAATTTAGTAGTTCTTCCTTATTTTGTTATGAGTAGCTAAACAATTATCTAGGGTTGATGGAACCAATTGTTGGTTGAAGTTTTGAATCAAGTTGTTATAATCGAGCCGGATTTATGATATGATTGTTCAACTATGTTTTGTATGGTGATTAATTGAATGGGGCCCTTGATTAATCATGTCTAATCACCTTATATTGCTTGAGAAAGAATATTGGGCTAGATAGCTGTTGAACAACATCACTTTTGGGTAATTAAAGAGATTCATTACTTGAACTTAAAAGTGGGTTTAGAGATAACAAAACTTTGGTGGGATAATCTAGAATTGTATACCTATAGTCAGCTAGAGTAGTTCGAGAGAATGCTCTAGTAAATTATCGTAGTTGATCGAGAGATAATTACGATAGCCCATAACTCTTAATACTCATAGAGTATTATGGCGAGATTATAGCGGAAGAGTCAAGACCTAAACTAGCAATTGGGGAAATCACTGCCCTAGACCTATTTACCATTGAATTATCCTTGTTTTAGCTTATTGTTGTTTTTTATAAGTAGTTGAAGTCGTTGAACAAAAGCCCAATCTTTATTGATCAAAAATCTTGCATCTAAAGATTGATTGAGTTGATAATAACATTGCTGAAAAGTGTAATAGATAGGTTAGTTCATTGAGGATTTGATTCCGGACTTAAAACCGGATTATATTTGCAGCGACCGCTTTGTCTTTTAAATGGCATAGTTGGGCATTATCAAATTTTGGCGTCGTTGCCGGGGAGCTAACAGTGTTATTTATTACAACTTATAAGTAGTGTTAAAATTATTAGTTCAAATCAAATTTCAAAGGTGCTAAACAAATTTTTATTGAAATTCTAACGTTTGAACTCTTGTGGAATTCAGGTGTATGCCTAGAAATTCTTTGAGGACTGGAGAACTGCTTGAAGGACTTTCAGACCCCGAGAAAACATTCAGGGCATTAAACTATGCCAACAGGAGGATCCAACAATCACAACAACCATCTCAGCTTGACCTTGACATGGGTGACGTAGAGAACGTCAACGGAAACATTAGGGACGAGCAAGCTAACCCAAATGTCAGAGTGGTGGCACCTCTTGTGCCCGAAGCTGCACTTTATGACTGGGCTTAACCCACAGCTGACAACCTGGCAACTGTCATAGTTGTACCTGCAATACAAGCCGACATTCGAGATCACCAACAACATGCTGCATCTACTGCAGAATAAGGGATTGTTCTCCGGGTCACACATTGAAGACCCTCAGCAACATTAGAAAAATTTTCTGTCAATTTGTATGACTCAAAGGCAGCCAAATGTGACCCCAGAAGCTATCAAGCTATTACTGTTCCCGTTCTCTATGACTAGGGAAACTCAGACATGGCTGAATTCGCTCCCAATCAATTCCATTGTCACCTGGGAGGAATTAGTAAAGCAGTTTTTGATTAAATTCTACCCACCCAACAAGACTGCAAGGCAGATTGATGAAATATTGCAGTACAAGCAACAGCTGACGGAGACCTGCAAGAAACTTGGGAAAGATTTAAAGGGATGCTGGTGAAGTGTCCTCACCATGGCATTCCAAACCAGATGCTTGGCCAGAGATTCTACATGGGATTAGCTGACAATCTAAAGGTCAATGTGGATGCTTCAGCTGGAGGTGCATTTTTGAGTAAGACATTCACTGAGTGCAAGGTCCTTCTGGACAAGATGTCCCTGAACTCAGGGTAGATGACTAGAGGTACAACACTAGCACCCATAGTGAATTCAGTGCCTCTTGACCCAAATAATTCGCAGGTAGAGAACATGGCCACACTTTTAACGCAGATGAGTATTTTGACAAAGAAGATAGATGAGATGGGTACCAAACAGGTGCATATTGTTGACACGACAAATGGAGGACTGTGTACACCCTGTGTTAATCAGTCCTACGTGTGTTCATGGAGCGGAGAAGGCGAAAATCAAGGGGCAAAGGAAGATATGAATTATGTTAACAACTTTGGGGGTCAGAGACAAGGAGGACAACAGTAGAGACCTGCACAAAATCAGCAATACAGACCCAACATGCCTCAGCCTGGGAGCATGCAAGCTCAAGGCCAATTGGTGCCATACCACCAGAGACAACAAGGCTAACCACAGTAGAACCAGCAACAGTTTACATATCAGCCACCTCCTCAGCAGCAAGATAACAACATGGTAGAGATCAGGGGGATGCTCCAGCAACTCATTGGGACAAACGGTAAGATGCAAGAAAAGTTGGCAGTACATGATTCAGCTATAAAGAACATTGAAACTCAGTTGGGGCAGTTATCTATGGCTTTGAACAATCTCCCCCAAGGAACATTGCCAGCGGATACAAATATTAACCCCAAGGAGCAAAACCCGAATCAGCTAATGGCAGTCAGTCTTCGGAATGGGAGAGATTTAGACAAGGAGCAGGAGGTTGCACAAGCCAGCAAGGAGACTACACCAGCCACTCCAACTCCACTAGAGGTAGATGAACCAACAAATCTGAATGAAGTGGTAGTTGAACAGGGCCAAGATGAAAAGGGTAAGGCTAAGGTAAACGAACAAGCTGCAGAACAGGTGGTGCCTCTTGTGCCACAGAACCCCAACAGAGAGAAGCCAGCAAGCAGTGCACAAAGGGTGATACCTGCACCATTCCCTCAAAGATTGGTAAAACAAAAGAAGGAAGACCAATACAAGAAATTCATGGAGATGCTGCGTCAAATTCAGTTGAATATTCCTTTAATGGATGCCTTGAGGGAGATGCCAGGTTATGCAAAGATGATGAAAGACCAAATGTCAGGGAAGTTTTATTTTTCAGGATCTATCCACAGTGACTCTGACGCAAACCTGCAGCGCAGTAGTGACCAGACCAATGGCTCAAAAGATGTCCGACCCAGGTAGCTTCACTATTCCTTGCACAATTGGGAGTTACGCCTTTGTAAAGGCATTATGTGATTTGGGAGCTAGCATAAATTTGATGACGTTGGCTGTATACACCAAACTGGGCGTTGGCAGAGCTAGACCGACTTCGATGATGCTGCAGCTGGCCGACCGCACGGTAAAAAAACCTACTGGGATTCTTGATGATGTATTGGTGCAAGTGGGGAAGTTCGTGTTCCCTGCAGACTTTGTTATTCTATATTGTCAGGTAGATGAGGAGATACCTATCATTTTAGGTAGGCCATTTTTGGCCACTGGGAGAGCCCTGATTGATTGTGAGACTGGGGAATTAAAAATTAGACTGAACGATGAAGAAGTCATATTCAATGTTCAGCATTCCATGAGAGACCCAGTGAATATAGGGATTTCTCTTTAGTGGAGGCAGTGGATGTGATCCTGCAAGAAGATGATATGACCGTGACTGCTAAGGATCCATTGGAGGCATGTCTAATAAATTTAGAAGAAATGGATGGTGAAGGGTTGGCTGAGTGGGTTATGGCACTAGAAGGACAAGGATTTTGGAAAAGGGAACCTCAGTTTGAGTCCCTTGAGTTAGAGAAAAAAGCTACACCCCCAGCAAAGCCATCGGTAGAGGAACCACCCAAGTTGGAGCTGAAGCTACTCCTAGCTCACCTCAGGTACGTTTTCTTAGGTCCCGATTCTACATTGCCTGTGATTATATCATCCGGTTTGTTAGATGTACAAGTAGAACAGCTGTTACAAGTACTGCAGGAAAGCAAGACTACCATTGGCTGGACTATGGCAGATATAAAGGGTATCAGCCCAGCCTTCTGTATGCACAAGATTCACTTGGAAGAAAGGCACAAACCTTCTAGAGAACATCAACGAAGGCTGAACCTGAACATGAAAGAGGTAGTAAAGAAGGAAGTGATCAAATCGTTAGATGCGGGAATCATCTTCCCCATCTCAGATAGCAATTGGGTCAGCCCTGTCCAATGTGTACCGAAAAAGGGGGGAATGACTGTTGTGCAAAACGAGAACAATGAGTTGATCTCAACTCGTACAGTCACGGGATGGCGGATTTGCATGGATTACCAAAAATTGAACGCATCCACCCAGAAGGACCACTTTCCCGTACCTTTCATTGACCAAATGTTGGACAGGCTGGCCGGGCGCTCGCACTTCTATTTCTTGGATGGTTATTCGGGGCACAATCAGATATCCATAGCCCCTGAAGATAGAGAGAAAACATCCTTCACTTGTCCATATGGCATCTTCGCCTTTCGGAGAATGCCTTTTGGGCTTTGTAATGCACCGACGACATTTTAACGGTGCATGTTAGCCATTTTCACAGACATGGTGGAGGATATTATGGAGGTCTTTATGGATGATTTCTCCATGGTGGGATATTTATTCGAGGACTATCTTCACAACTTAAAAAGAGTGCTCAAAAGATGTGTGGAGACAAATTTAGTGTTGAATTGGGAAAAATGCCATTTTATAGTACAGAAAGGGATAGTCCTGGGACACCGAGTGTCCAGTAAGGGAATTGAGGTCGACCATGCCAAGGTGGACGTGATAGAAAAACTACCACTACCCACTTCGGTCAAGGCGGTGAGAAGTTTCCTTGGACACGCCGGGTTCTACAGGCGATTCATCAAAGATTTCTCTAAAATTGCTAACCCATTGTGCAAACTCCTTGAAAAGGATCACCCTTTTGTGTTTTCTAATGAATGCAGGTTGGCATTTGAGGAGCTGAAGAAGAGATTGGTGACTACACCCATCATTGTTGCACCCAACTGGAAGCAACCGTTTGAGCTCATGTGCGACGCCAGTGACTACGCCATAGGAGCAGTCTTGGGGCAGCGATAGGGTAAACTGATGCACCCGATTTATTATGCAAGCAGAATGCTGAGCGGTGCATAACTCAATTACACTGTGACGGAAAAGGAGATGCTGGCTGTTGTTTTTGCATTCTCAAATTCAGGTCATACTTGATTGGCTCAAAAGTTATTGTTTACACTGACCATGCAACAATTAGGTACTTGATAGAAAAGAAGGAGTCAAAATTGCGCTTGATTCGCGGTTCTTCTATTACAAGAATTTGATCTAGAAATACGTGACCGAAAAGGGACAGAGAACTAAGTAGTCGACCACCTCTCAAGGTTGGAAGGAGCTGAAAAGAACGTAGAGGTTGAGGATATAACAGAGACATTCCCGGATGAACAATTACTGGCAATGACAATGGAGGAGGCACCTTGGTATGCTGATATTGCTAATTAGTTAGCAAGTGGTATTGTACCTTATGAACTCTCCTCAATTCAAAAGAAAAAGTTCTTCCGTGATTGTCGATATTATTATTGGGATGAACCTCTATTATTCAAAATATGTGTATATAACATGATCCGGCGGTGTATCCCCGAGAGAGATCAACATTCTGTTTTGTAGGCTTGCCATGCTTCACCATATGGTGGGCACTTTGGAGGAATTTGGACAGCAGCGAAGGTGTTGGAGTTCGGCTTATACTGGCCTACTCTGTTCAAGGATGCTCATGCCTGGGTCAAAAGCTGCGATGAATGCCAAAGAACTGGCAACATATCTCGTAGACATGAGATGCCAATGACCACAATTCAATAGGTGGAGATTTTTGACATGTGGGGGATTGACTTCATGGGGCCATTTTTCAGCTCGTATGGTAATAAGACATATTTGTAGTAGTTGACTATGTCTCCAAGTGGGTCGAAGCAGTGGCTCTCCCAACAAATGATGCTAAGGGGATACTAGGCTTTTTAAAGAAGAACACTTTCACGCATTTTGGTTCCCCAAGAGCTATACTTAGTGATGGCGGGACCCATTTCTACAATAGAGTATTCGCACGACTGCTGGAAAAATATAGAGTTCGGCATAAGGTGACCACCCCGTACCACCCACAATCGAGCGGGCAAGTTGAAGTGTCCAACAGGGAGATTAAAAGTGTCCTTACAAAGACAGTGAATGCAACAAGGACTGACTGGGCAAAGAAATTGGATGAAGCATTCTGGGCATACCGCACAGCCTTCAAAACCCCTATTGGGATGTCACTGTACAAGTTGGTGTTTGGTAAGGCATGCCATCTCCCAGTTGAGCTAGAGCATAAAGCACTTTGGGCATTGCGACAGTTGAACTTAGACATGGAAACAGCAGGCACTAACAGAGTCACGGGACTACATGAGCTCGAGGAATTCAGGTTTCAGGCCTTTGAGAGTGCTAGATTATACAAAGAAAGGATGAAGTTAATGCATGATAAGCACATCTTGGATCGAAACTTTAAACCCGGAGATCGAGTGTTGTTATACAACTCGAGATTGAGATTGTTCCCAGGTAAGTTAAAATCCCGATGGTCAGGACCCTTCAGAGTGGTGCAATTGTTCTTAAGTGGAGCTGTAGAGATTAATCAGAAGATGGGACAAACAAGTTCACAGTAAATGGGCAAAGGTTGAAACATTACCTTGGCATGTCTGATGAAAAAGGGGATAGAGTGGTAATCACTTTGGGAGAGCCCCAGTACGCGGATGAGGAGTGATGGTCAAATGCTGGCATCGTGCCGCGACGTTAAATCAGGCACTGTGTGGGAGGAAACCCACAGGTGTGTTAATTAGGTGATTAAAAAAAATGCACCCAGCACCACGACCGCGGTAAACCGCGGTGGGAGGCAAACATTCTGCCTCGGATTTTTAATCCCACCGCGACCGCGGTGAACCGCGGTGGGAGGAAAACATTCTGCCTTGGATTTTTAATCCCACCATGACCGCGGTGAGGCGTAAACTTTCTGCTTCAGATTTTCCAACTCACCACGGCCGCGGTGGACCGCGGTCGGTCCAGGTAAGTCTAATTTTTTTTTTCCGTTTTCTCTTAATTTTTTTTCCAACCCAAACCCCCCCCTTTTAACCCCAAAAACCACGACCCCCTCGCCCATATTCCCACTTTCTCTCTCTTTCTAATCCCTAACCTCCCCAACTCCTCTCTTCTTCTTCTTCTTCTTCTTATTCTCCTTCACTCACACCACCCCTATCTTCCATTCCTCTCCTCCTTTCCCCCTTAAGGTAAGATTCTAACTCTTCTCTCTCTTTTCTTTGGCATTGTGTTGTATTGTGTTGTTATTATGTGATTTTATGTGGTGTTGAGATATAATTGTTGGTCTATATTTTTTTTCAATCTTCTTATTTTTGTTTTTCAATTTTGTCTTTGAGATGATTGGTGAAGGGCCTGTAAATTGCATGTTTGAACGGTGTTATTGGTGGGTGATTGAATAAAGTAAGTGTGGGGTGTGTTGGTGTGGTAGTATACTTATTTGGGAGGAGCTTGGATGTACCCATGAGGGCTAGATGTGTCTAGATGGCAATTTTCTCGCAAGGTGTTTGGAAAATTGCCCCAATGGGGATATAAGGAGCTAGTGTGACATGGATATGGTGAAGTTTGAGTAACCATCCATAGTTACATATTTTGCACACTCACTAATAGGCGTTTCATTGTATGACAGGTACAATGAGCTCCTCCAGGAAAAGACGAAACACCGGACCTTCTATCAATGGACCGGGCAGCTCTTCATGATCCAGGAGCCACACCAGTGCCCCTCAGTTCGACATCACTCGATTTGTCTCCAGCACAACGGAGAATAGGTACAACCAGAAAGCAACTAAGAAGTTACAACCAGAGGTACACATTGATCGAATGGCTTTGGAGGTGGAATGTCCTAATATGTTGAATGAGCTGCAGAGGTGTCAGCTGGACATTTTCTTCAAAGTACCGGAAGAAGCTAATGTTCAATTAGTAAGGGAGTTATATGCAAACCTGCCAGAACATGAGAATGGGGTTGTGATGGTGCGCAATACCCTGGTAAATGCATCCCTTGACGCCAAGTGACTTTGATCCTTATTGTACTTTTAGCGGAACAAGGGCCTTGCGGGGCACTCTTCTGGATACTATCTGTGGGCCGGATGGAGAGCACCTATGGATCAAGCACAAGATTACTCTCAACTCCCACTGTCTAAATTGGGAGGCCAAATGTTGGCTCACCATTGTCAACAGTCGTTTGTTGCCATCCAGCAACACGACAGATGTTAATCTACCATGAGCGTCCGTAATCCACTGTTTCATGTCCTATACTGATTTTGATGTGGCACGGCTGATTCATGAAGAGATGTTCATTCGATCACCTAAGCTTATCAAGGGTCACTACTTCCCTTCGCTAATCACCCGGCTGTGCCGTATTGCTCGAGTCCCTGAAGACCCTCGGGTTGATGGGAAATTTCCACTAAAAGCCCCATTTCAGGCGAGAAAAATTGGAATTGGACGAGAACCGGTGGTGAATGTTGATGACTCTGATGCTAATTCGCCTGAGAATGATGATGATGATGCTGAGGTAGCTGAGGTTCC